TCCTATACCCCACAGATCGAGGAGCTCATTCAAAAGCGCAACGATCTGAATGAGGAACTCGTTGAGATCAACCGCAACAAGGAAAAGGCCTTCCAGGAATTCGAACAGCTGTCTTCCAAGAATGCTCAATTGGCGGAGCTCAACAATCAATTGGTTCACCAGATTCAGGAGCTGTACAAAACCAACAATGATCACCGTGGTCCGAATGGCCTGGGTATCTCGCACAACAAGGACAGGTCTATTACCTCTCTTGAGGGGATGAAGCCTGGAAGTACTCATGAGATTGCCACATCGATCTCGACTGCTCACATGCACGAGGACGGTGAGCCCGCTACTGCCACCGTCGTGCCCGGGCCACAGGTTGTCAGTATTCGCAAGGGTCAGCCCCGTAAATTCAACTGGAAGAAGGGTGGCCAGAATGTGGCGAAGGGCGTCAAGGGTCTCAAGGGTGCCTTCATGGGTAATGATGAACCTGGCGGCCTACCTCGTTCCCAAACACAGGATCCCAGTCGTCAGGGCTTTGGCTTCTTTGGAAACCAGAGGAGACCAGGAGGTAAAATGTCGCAGGCCGACAGTGTACCGGCTCTCTCTGAAGCTGTCGGTAGCCTCTTCGGTGTGGATTTGGAGGCTCGCATGGAACACGAGAAGAGTATCATTCCTGCCATCGTGACTCGATGCATTCAAGAAGTTGAATTGCGAGGTTCGTCTAACGCTTCTTCTCATTCGTTGCAATTATTTCTAACTCGATTTCAGGTATGGATATGGAAGGTATCTACCGCAAGTCTGGTGCTGCGTCGGCTATCCAAGGTATTCGCGAAGGCTTTGAACGCAGTCCATTTGATTACGATATCTCGGACCCTGATCTCGATATCCACGCTGTCACCTCCGCCCTGAAGCAGTATTTCCGAAAATTGCCTAACCCTCTGATCACATATGAAGTCTACGAGCTAATCATTGAATCCGGAGAGATCACTGATGCACCTACCCGGGTTGATGTCTTGGTGAAGGGTCTGCGAGAGCTTCCCCGTGCCCACCGTGACGTCCTCGAATTTCTTATGTTCCACTTGCAGCGCGTCGTTGAGCGCCAGGAGGAGAACTTGATGACGTGCCAAAACATCGCCGTCGTGTTTGCTCCGACTATCATGAGGCCCGAGAGCCTAGCTCGAGAGATGACCGATGTGCAGAAAAAGAATGACGTTCTCAAATTCATGCTTGAGAACCTTAATGACATATTCATGGGCATGTCCAGTGGCTAGTTGGAGCCACCCATACCACCCTCACCATCTTTATTTTTACTTCTGTCTTTTGCGTTTCTTTGCACATCCCCCGTCAGGTTATTGAGATCTGTGACGAGTCTTGTATGGATGTCTTTCTGTTGGCGCTTCTCCTTTCACAGATACCAACGTCTTTCTTTGGTCATTTATTCTGTTTTTGTTTCCTCATGCAGCTTCCCCATCTCTACACTCTGTTCACGATCAGCGCTGCACGCTCGATACAGATACCCTGGTTTGCCCCCTTGTTATTTTTTACATATTCCGCAGGTTCGAAGCTAGTCATTCCCTAGGGTCCTCGCGGTCTCAGATAAAAGCGCCTCGTGACCATTGGGGAAAATTAAAAATTAAACCTTTGGGTGGTTATCATCCTTGTGATTTATCTAATGATGTTTCCCTTTTTGTCTTTGACGTACTTAATTCGTGTTGAGCGAGCATTGGATCATGTCTAGCGTTATGCATATCCATCGCTGGCCGAATACACAGGGCATTGTGTAGAGTGTGGATTCTTTTAGTTTTTTTCCTTGCGTTCCTATGTAATCAATCTGAAGAACCTTGAATATTACTCAATAACAGGAACCTACAAAGTGATTGTCCGTAACTATACGTTGCTCCACAGAAACTAAAGTACCCGTGTCCGCATCCCGCACCAATCACCTCCGACCGCCTACGACATCACAGCTCCAGCTCCAACCACCCGTCCATCCACGAATCACCCCTTCAATCCCTCATGCCCGCTGCGAGGGCCCTACACTCATTCAAACGACTTAATTTAAGCCCGCTTCATCCGGCTTCAAAATAAACGATGTCGAAACCAGGCAAATACATCCTCCTATCCCTCCCCACCTCCATCGTCCCCTCGCACCACAAAGACGATGCCCTCGACGCCGTCTCGAAAACTGTCTCTCCCGACAATGGCTCCGCTGCGTCCTTTCCCATTCCGGAGTTCAAGATCGGCACATTAGATGGCCTGGTCCAGCAGGCGGATGAGCTTGCGAAGCTGGAGGGACAGTGCGAGGGTGTTGTTGCGAAGGTGGGAGATGCATTGAAGAATATCCTTGACGGTGATGAGGCGCAAATTGAGCGGATGAAGGTTGTCAATGACAGTATGTGCATGTTGGATGCTATGGGGTTCTCTCTGCGCGCTACTCATGTGGAGCTTGTAACTGACTAGTTGTTGCAGAGCCCGTGGACCAGTATCTCCGCTCGTTCCAGTGGAACAAGGTCAAGTACCGTGCTGATAAGCCACTGGCGGAGCTGATTGATCTGCTGTCGAAGGTCGGTGGAAGCTTCAACAATCTATTCCAAGAATAAGACTAATATGCGACGCTACAGGAAGCTGCTAGCATCGACAATGACATCCGGTTCAAGTACTCGCAATATAACCAGGTTAAGAACAACCTGGCTACTCTCCAGCGGAAACAAGCGTGCGTCCAGATCCCCTCGACTTATTCAGTTCGTTCATATAGCTAAATACTCGGACGGCTTTACAGAGGAAACCTCTCCACAAAATCTCTCGCCTCCATCGTTGACCCCAAATCCATCGTCCAAGACTCCGAGTACATTGAAACCCACCTCATTGCCGTGCCCTTGCAACTAGTCAAGGACTTCCTCAAGACCTACGAGACCGTCTCGGCCATGGTCGTCCCGCGGTCTGCACAGCTTGTTGCCTCTGACAGCGAGTTCTCACTGTACGCTGTAACGGCGTTCAAAAAGCACAGCGCCGAGTTTGTGCACAAGTGCCGTGAGCAGAAGTGGATTCCGCGAGACTTCAAGTATGTGGAGGGTGGTAAGGAGGAGGAGAAGAAGGAGGTTGAGAGAGTTGGTGGAGATGAGCGAAAGCTTTGGGGAGAGACGCTGCGACTTGGTCGGACAGCTTGGAGTGAGGCTGTTATGGTCTGGATACATGTCCTTGTTTTGAGGGTCTTTGTTGAGACTGTGCTGCGGTATGGTTTGCCGCTCGACTTTGTCTGTGCTTTGATTCGGGTATGTTTCGTCTCTTTCTCTTTTTCCTGGTCAATTGCTAACTCCTTACAGACCCCATCAGCGAAGCAGGCCGACAAGGCCAAGCAGCTTCTCGATGATAAGTACTCCTACCTGGCCGGCAATGCTTTCGGCCGCGACAAGAAGGGCCGTGTCAAGAAGGATGACCCCAACGAGATGCACGGAGCTGGCGAGGGCAGCGCCGAGTACACACCCTATGTGTTCTATGATTTCGAGTTCCAGTGATCCGAACAGAAGACGTTTCGTTGCGTGCATATACTACCCCGGTCCATTGAGCACCAAGTACTTAGCATTTTGGAAATTGACTTCATGTTTTGTTCATTTCGTTCTGTTCGGGTGTAACTACTCAATTGCTTTAGATTAACTTTTCCAGGTTCAAGGGATGTATAAATGATTCAATAATTTTCACATTCAAAGCAATCTATGTGCCAATGTATTTACAGCGCCTGGCTAACCAAAACCTGTACAAATCAAACCCTCAAAATCCCCGCACCAGAAACCTAGTTCTTAGCAGCAGGCAAGTATCCCTTGGAATCAAGGTACTCAATAATCTGCTTAACAGCATCAACAATGGGCAAATCAACATTCTTAATGTGAACCTCAGGCTTCTCAGGAGCCTCGTAAGGAGCCGAGACACCAGTGAAGTCCTTAATAATACCAGCACGAGCCTTCTCGTACAATCCCTTGGGATCGCGCTTCTCGGCAACCTCAACGGGCACATCAACGTACACCTCGACGAAAGGCAAACCGGTCTCCTCACCGGGGGTGGGGGTCTCGTGCAGAGCGCGGGCGGTATCACGGTCCTTCTTGTAGGGGGAGATGAAAGAGGTAATAGCCACAGCGGAAGAATCAGCGAAAAGCTTAGCAACCTCGGCAATACGGCGAATGTTCTCATTACGGTCTGTCTCGCTGAATCCAAGGTCCTTGTTCAGTCCGAAACGGACGTTGTCGCCATCGAGGCGGTAGGCGTGCACGCCGCGGTCACGGATGAGCTGCTTCTCAAGCTCAACAGCCAGAGTGGACTTTCCGGAGGCGCTGAGGCCGGTCAGCCAGATTGTGAGACCCTGTTGGTTGCGGAGGGTGCTGCGCTCGGAGCGGGTGACGCCCGAGGCGTGGAAGGTGATGTTGCTGCGGGGTGTTAGTATACCTGTCGGGTTGTATTGGGGATTGAGGATTGAGGGCAATTGACGTACGTGGCCATTGTGATTTAGTGATTGTAATAGTTGTGGGAGGGAGAAAGGGTGAGGAGGAATAAGGGTGAGGAGGGGCAATAGACGGTGAAACGGGCCGCGTAAGAGTTCCTGGAGCGGAAATGGAGCGCTGATCGCGGGGCATTTTCTGGCTTCTTGGCGCTATACGAGGTTTACGAATATTAACTTAATTAAGGATTAAGGTTGACATATGCAGTCTAAGGATATAATGAATTTCTGATGCTTCTTGTCATCTCTATACAATGAAGTACAAAGCGAAAATGCTTCGCCAAAAAAAAAAAAAAAAAATCATACACGAATGGATCCCTTCTATAGAAATGGCGCAATCGATCAATCTCCGCCAAACGCCAGGAACCAGGAACGGGCTTTCGCCACTTTAAACCGGGCACAGAGAATTCTATTCGTTCGCACCACGGTACAACGATGAAAGGGCCTAGAACTTTAATCAGCCTCATCCCAGTAAAAATAAAATCCATCACGAAATAGATGGCCGGGTGAACAAAGAAAAGGGGTACTAGGTAGCACTTACCGCCGCCTGCTTAGGCTCAATGAACAAGGCCTTAGCCTGAACCAAGACAACAGGGTCACTTCCATCAAGCGGAAGAGTCTCAATCCGTCCTTCAACCCACGCCTTCCGTCCTTCAACCTTAACAGTCTCCGCCCGCAACGCCACATACGAATCCGCCATAGCCGGCGCCCGGTAATCAATATTCAAATTAGCAGTAACACCGACCTTATTGGGAAGCGCAGGGAAACAACACCGCGCCAACCCTTCATCCAAAAGCGTCGCTAGCAAGCCACCGTGAATAATCCCCGGGTGTCCACAGATCTCCGAGCCAAGGTACATAAGCGACACGAGGCTCTTGCCGTCGCGCTCGCTGAACACGTACGGGGGCACGACGATCTTGTTGGGACCTGCCAGTGTACCTGCAGTCAGACTGCGGGCGCGCATACCCTCGGGGATCTTGAGGTGGGGACGCGATTCTTTGAAGTCGGGGTTTGCGCGGAGCGCGAGGGCGTCCGGGTGGTTTTGGAGGGTTGTGTCGATCTTTTGCGCGACTTCATCGACTGGCGTAAAGGCAGACAGAGTCTGCTCGTCGGAGATGATGGGTTCGGCCATGATTTTGGAGACGGTGCGGAAGGATGTAAAGGTTAGGCCTGCTGTGAAGGCTAAGACGGCGATTGACACGAAGCCTGCGACGCGGCGGATACGCGACTGTTTTGGTTGCGGAGGGGGTGTAGAGTAAGGGGTGTGTGCTGAAGGATCGGGTTAGTGGATTTCCTTTCTTGACTTATATTTGTAGAAGGATTGTTGCCTACCGGTGGACTGGAATCGGTGGCTGCGGGCGTAGAGTGGATATGAGGTCGAACGACTCTGGATCAGGAGGCGAGTAGGGGACGGTGTCAATCGAGGAGTGAGGGTGGTGAGAGAGGGAGAGAAATGGATATATGTCGGTCGGAGCATTTTCCAACTTGATCAGAATTGTCGCACTTGGGTCCAGGTTGTTGGGAGGCAAAGGTTGAGATGGTGTGGATTCGATGAAAGTTACCTCGGCATCTTTTGGCCGTGGGTCTCGGTGTCTCCGAGAGTCTTGGAAATTCTAGGTCTCAACCAAAATTCGTAGGAAAAGATAGAGTAGAAGATTCTGTAAATTTCTGTTTGCTTTCATATTTGACTTTGATATGAATTAATTCGAGTGGATCCTGCAGGTGCTTCAATGTGGCGTATTGATCTGCGTACTTATGGAGGCCCACGTAGTAGTACCCACGAGGGGATACGGATCCAGTTTTCCATCTAGCGAGATTTGCTAGCTGTTAAGCATGATCGACTAGCCAGAGACCTTATTTAATTTTAATCCAAGGGAAATGATCCCAAGCTCCCTGGCTAGGTGCCTGGGTAGCTTACTGCGTACATACTAGCGTCCTGCACGCCTACTGCTTGGGGCAAACTCTTCCAGCTTCTCAAAAGATACACCATTATTCGCTTTTGTCATATCTCACTTTCAGGCACTCATCCATCAAGGCCGACAAAGTCTCATATTAGTCGCCGAATGATACACATTCATACTAAGGACTTTGATTAAAAACATGATCAGAGCCCTGATGCGACGACTTGTGGATAAATTATAATTAGAGATTAAAATGGACCGGAGCTACGACGATATCGATCACGAAGCCAGTCAATAAGCTTACCGAGATTTGTAGTACAGTAACAGGCAATATGGATACCTTCGTAGTCTACTTAGTTAGCAAGAATGGCTATAATCGAAACAGCCGTCCAGCTTAGACTGGGACGCTGGGCATGGTAGGTCTTTTGCGAAAGAAGTATTAGCCATAAGAGAGCCATATTCCCGAATATCATCCGGTCTCTAAGAAAGCCTCTTCCAATTCCCAATGCCAAAACAACCAAACCTACACGCTCGCTCGTTCCATAACCATACATCTGCACCGCCTATTGTTCAAGATGATGAGAAAGGCCCCGAACGCTTGTTGTTTAACATTAACATTAAGGTGCACTCCATTCATCATAAAGCTTGGAAATATGGAATGGAAGCGTGGGTGGGGAACCTTCGGAGCAGATCTTCTCCTTCGACTATATATTCAAAAATTCAATTTATATTTTCAAGCAGGTACCTATCCCAACACCTGTTCCACCTACAGAGATACCCACGGATTCAAATAAACTTGAGACGTAGCACTGGAGCTAGCGATCACACGTTCATGGAACCGGGGAAACAACGGGAAGACTGCCGATGGCCCCGTGTTGATGTACTACTGTAAGAACCTGGGATTCCTGACAAGTTGCCGCAGGAATCTAACCACTCACCCGGCACCTTGATGCCAAAATCGTTCTAGAATTGCATGGCTAGTTCAAGAATGCTGATCGGAATTTGATTTAATGATTTCAAATTAGATCCTCAATAATCAGGTCATTTTATCCGCCCAATGAGGGAGGTTCCAAGCGTGGGTCATAGTTGAAGAAAGCCTGAATCAAATCCGCCGAAAAGACCCTTGTATAACCAATCCCACCAGCCAACAATGAAAATAGCCTATCACGCGCAGCTGGCGCGCATGGACTTATCACTAGATAAAGGCCCGGGGGATTCTCGATGCAACCCAGCGACGCGGGGTTGATCGACAGGGGCCCGCATACCAGACAAGCAAGACGCGACAGGGGCCAAAGGAGGACCTAAATACCGGCGATCCTGCAGCTACAATGATCTCACAAGTAAATATTTCTACGACCATCCGCCATGCCCTCGCGTTGCGTACTTGCGACGCTCTTTCTCGCCAGCAGTTGCGCGTTGGTAAACGCCGAGCTTCCAGCCCTACCGGATGATTATGATGTACTCCAATACATTGATCCGCTGATCGGCACTGCAAATGGAGGTAAGGACTCTTCAGGAATTAAGTAGAGTAAATGCATACTAATCGTCTTTGGAACTACAGGCAATGTCTTTGCGGGTGCCACTCTGCCTTATGGGATGGCTAAAGCTGTCGCCGATACTGATTCGGAAAGCAACCAGGGCGGTTTTGCATATGATGGCAGTAATGTCACCGGGTTTTCAAGCATGCATGATTCTGGTACTGGCGGCAGCCCTTCCCTTGGGAATTTCCCTCTCTTTGCGTATCCGCAGTGTGCAAATGATAATGTGGATGGTTGTGTCTTCCCGAAGAAGGCCAGAGCTACCCCTTACAAGAACGGCTCTGTTGAGTCCCGCCCAGGCTACTTTGCTATCTCGCTGCCCTCTGGAGTGCGTGTTGACATGACTGCCGCTCATCATACAACGCTTTTCCGTTTTAATTTTACAAATGCTACCAGTCCGTTGATTCTCTTGGATCTTTCCGACCTGTCGGACTCGCGGCAAGACAATGCAACTATTTCCGTTGATGAGCTCACTGGACGTATGACTGGAAGCGCGAAATTTCTGCCTAGCTTTGGTAGTGGAACATACACTCTTCATTTCTGTGCAGATTTCAAAAGCTCCGCCAGTTTAAGGGATAGTGGGATTTTTGTCGATGCTCGGGCCAGCACCGATGTTCATGACCTGAAGATATCGCGGAGTATCAATGGCTATCCTCTCCCAGTGAGTAAAATTTAACATTCTCGTGTCCTTATGAACTAACTGGTGAAGGGTGGTGGCTTTGTACGCTTTAATGCCCCGTCTGATGGCCTCATTCAGGCTCGTGTTGGGGTGAGCTTTATCAGCCCAGACAAGGCTTGCTCTCATGCCGAATCAGAGATTGGCGGCTTCAATTTTGAGTCTACACATAAGTCTGCCGTTGATCAATGGACCAAGAAACTTAGTCCGATTCGCGTCTCACGAACCGGTGTCAAATCGTCGGTTCTCACCAATTTCTACAGCGGCATCTACCGAACTATGGTGAACCCCCAGAACTATACAGGCGAAAACCCCCTCTGGACCAGCACAGAGCCATATTTTGATTCTTTTTACTGGTTCGTCTTAACAGTCCTGGCTTCATGATCACCGCTTACCAATACTAGTTTATGGGACTCTTTTCGCTCGCAGCTTCCTTTCCTCACGATTACCGACCCCAGCGCGGTCGCTCAGATGGTTCGTTCTCTGATTGATACGCAGCGCCATCTCGGGTGGCTTCCCGACTGCCGCATGTCGCTTTGCAAAGGTATTTAATTTTTAGCCCAAAGTCTTATAACTAGACTGATTTGCCATTATAAAGGATATACCCAGGGAGGATCAAATGCCGATAACATCCTCGTTGATGCTTATGTGAAGGGCATCACCGATGGCATTGACTGGAATTATGGATATGCTGCTGTCCAGAAAGATGCCGAAGTAGAACCTTTTGACTGGTCCAATGAAGGCCGTGGAGGACTCCACAGCTGGAAAACGCTGAACTATATTCCAGTCGAAGACTTCGACCACGTGGGCTTTGGAACTATGACTCGAAGTATCTCACGCACACTTGAGTACTCATACAATGACTATGCTATCGCCCAAATGGCACGTGGAATGAACAAAATGGCTGATGCAGAGAAGTACGAAAAGAACTCGGGAGCCTGGCAAAACTTGTTTAAAAAAGATCAAACTTCATACCTCAAGAAGAACGACACCGGCTTTGTGGGATTCTTCCAGCCCAAATACCTCAATGGGACTTGGGGATATCAGGATCCTCTCAAGTGTTCAAACATGGACAACACAAGTATATGCTCTCTACAGAACACTGGCGCAGAAACATTTGAGTCGAGTATCTGGGAGTACCAATTGTAAGTACTTTTCTCTCCCATTTGTGACTTGACTAACGCTCCCTAGCTTCGTACCTCACGATATGGCCGCACTTATCCCTCTACTTGGCGGTCCCTCAAGCTTTGTCAAGCGTCTCGACTACCTACATGAGAAAAACATCACATACATCGGTAATGAGCCTGCCTTCTTGACTGTTTTCCAATACCATTATGCCGGTCGCCCTGCCAAGTCTACTGCGCGAGTTCGCACATACATCCCAGATTACTTTTCTCCGACTCCTACTGGTCTACCTGGCAATGATGACTCTGGTGCGATGGGATCTTTCGTCGCAATGTCGATGATGGGACTCTTCCCAAATCCAGGACAGAGCGTCTACTTACTCACCGTCCCGTTCTTCGAGTCGGTGAAGATTACCTCGCCGCTGACAGGCAAAACGGCTTCTCTGCGCGTGGTCAATTGGGCCGACTTTAATAACGCCAACAACACCGGTGGAACAGGTTTCATCCAGTCCGCTACTCTCAATGGCTTGCCATATACACGGAACTGGGTCGATCATGACTTCTTCACCAAAGGCCAGGATTTGGTTCTGACTTTGGGTCACAATGAGAGCGATTGGGGCACGAAGCCTGAAGATTTGCCACCTTCTTTGACCCATTCAGCGGACTTGAAAGCGCGCGACCTTGGAGGCTATGATAATCTCGAGGTCGTGGGAGTCTAGGAAGTAGCAAGAAATATTGTACGGGGTATTATTAATATCTAGCCTGGGAAACTTAAGGTGTGCTGTGATCCTGTCGAAATTCACATTGTACAGTGCATTGGCTGGTCTTATAAATCATAGCTTCAATCACACTAAACCTTTTAACTTCCTTTCGCTCATATATAGAAATGCTTCGTGCTCGTAATCATAAGTCGTTATGTGGAGTTTGTTGTCTGAGAAGCTCTTGTTCTCCGCCGATGAATCTCCTTCTTTTCCAAATACACATCCTTCCATTCCTGACTATGAGGAATCATATGCCATGCAATCATGCGCTCATCTTCCTCCGATGTCAAATCCAACCAAGCGAAAAGGTCCTGCCGTCGCTCTTGGACAGGATAAGACGTTCTTTTGGGTGACGAGTGCTCCAAATCGGTCATTGTTGTTCGACTCCATGGCCATGAAAAAATTTGCGTTTTGATTTCCTTCGGCCCCAAGGTCTTTTCTTCCTTTTGCACGGGTTCCCATTCAGTGTACTCCGCCGGATAGGAGGATACTGTGGCTTTCAGCCTCGAAGTGACCCAGCAACTCCATTCTTTCTCTTTATAATCAACGTGATTCCACTTGCGTCGAATATCGCTTGATAACTGCGAATCTTCACTACCAACCTTATAGGCTGTAAGTACAGTCGCCGAGAGGATCAAAACAATCGTACAAATCTGCGTGTACAACGCAGCCATACCAATACTGATAACATGGACGGCAAACGCAATCCAGCCGACAATACGACAAAACATGTAAAATCTCGGATTGGGTATATGAGGCGCGGCCGTGAAAGCAGGCTTGACAAGAAACGCAGGCGCAAGCAGAGTCACGACTTTGGAGTCTTCTGTTACCACAATGAGCTTCACAAGATCTTTGGCCTGGGGCCGACTTGGCACTTTGATATTCTCGCAACCTGGCTCCATCTGACGACGCTGCATAGCTTCCACTGCAGCCTCATATTTCCTCAAGCTCTGATTGGCATCTTCTTCAGCCCTGCGGATATTCTCACTGATCCCACTTCGATTCTCCGCAACCTGCACGCATCTCATAATTACCGAGAAAATCATAGCTAGAACATTCGCAAAACCCCACCAGTCCGCCGCTAAGACTGTCATGGCAAGAAGCATTCCATGCACAGGCAGACTGATAAGAAACAAGCCGACAGAAAATATCTTCCTCCGTGGCGGCCGATCAACAATCTCCCAGATGACTTTGCTCCGAATTTTGTGAAATTCTTGCGCGCGAAGCCATCGCGAGAACCAGCCCGATAGCTCGGTTGTTACGATCCCCGCGGAGATGTTGTATAGTGTATATCCGAGTTTCCGCTCTTTGATTCGGTCGCCCGCCACAACAAATGCGCCGAGAAGTGGTAGGTAGTCAAAGTACGCACTTGGCATCAGTCTTCCGATGCTGCGGTCCATTTCTTCTGCGCCTAGCAGTGTGACGAGGCCCAAAGCGTCGATTTGAAAGCCTGCATCCTTGGCCCAGGACTTGAGGGCTTGATGCCAGGGATACATGGTGCTGTAGAGAGTTGTGTTTGAAAGATTTGAAAGTGAGGTGCTTGATTATTCGTTGAATTGATCTAGTCTTTGTGGCACGTTCAGACTCTTATGACGTACATCTCGAGTTCTGACGGGATTGAAAGATTGTTCTTCGAGCTAGTCATTTGCAGCTGGCAAAACGATTTCCACAATCCGCTAATCTGCTAGTGGAGGCTTGGTTTCTGACATGTCCATGTGGGCTCACGTTGGGGGCGGAAAGAGTCGAGCGGACTCAGCGCAGGAACAAAGCTCGTGCGAATGAGCGACAACTGCGGCTGAGGTTCGTAATATAATTGTTTCTTGCATAAAGCTGCAAATAGGCCCGGGAACGCGTACAACTGCAGCACCATACCGAACACATGACGCCCACCCCTCAATGGTCCCAAATTTCTTCCCTACGGAGCAGTACCGCTCTTTTGATATTTCTGGCCCTTGACTAGCGCCGTTGGTGGCGGCTTACTTGGGACTACGTTCACAGGTAAATTATCACTACGGCGGAATCTATACGAGGTCCGCCGTGATTGAGAACAAGACTAGTCGACGCCAAGTGGAAAGCATGATTTCTATGGAAAGATCTTGCAGAGCAAGTGGGGTGGTGGAAATAGCGTGCCGTGCCGTGGAGTCCCTTGGTTCGCCCGGGTGCGCTGTCTTGTCAGCGCTTAACTCTAAAGGGTCGTCCCGGCAGGCGGATTTGTCCTAGTTGGGATCGAGTAGCGTTGATCTTGTCCGTTCCATGTGGTCCGCATCCTTGTGATGAGCGAGAATTTCATGTTGGACTGACTCAGTTGTATTTGGAATTTTTTTGATTTGTTGAGTCGAGATTAAGGTTCTCGTGTAATCCTGGTTCCTCGCGGCCTGCACCCGCGTTATGGCCGATTCTCGTATTAAAGGCAATATGGATGCTTTTGAGATGGTGTGCTTGGTTTTCTAAGCGATCTCAAGTGGCCCCAAGATTGAAAAAATTCCAGGGTTATCCTATATGTGAACATTAGTATGGTGGAGCAAATCTAGTGCTGACAGGGTGGGATCTTCTAACCAAGGGTCCCTGCCCTGCGACTTAAATATCAACGTCCAACAAGAACCTTGATATGGCAAAATTAGTCACATTTGACTCTCAAAATAGATGAATGACGCGTTGGCCTGCTGCATACCATCATGGCTTAAGACATTCCGCGTATGCATATCTGCACGTTGAGCTAATTTGCGCGAGGTGAAGTGAAAAGAACGATGCACAAGGCGCCCTAAACCTAAAGACATATTAGCGGGGCTAAGATTAAATTAGTTAAGGGTCTATCTATAGAGTTAGAGGCCTGAGCGACTTATGGGGCCTGAATTTGCTACTAGAATTGGATTGGTCAGATTGACTGATAATCCATGGAATTGTTTCATGCTAGATGTTTGGGCTCTTCTAGCCTTCCAGAGCTCTTCATAGTTAGTCAATGCCCCTGAGCTTAGGCCCCCAAAGCTGAGCCTCCCCTCCTTAGCACGGACCGTCCTCGGGTGGATCTAGACATATGCTCTTCAATAACAATAAAAACCCTACAACAGCCCCATTGTCGCGCATTTCTTTATTCATGCACTTATAATCACTATCAAGCATAGAGGTCTTTGCAGCCGACATGGGGGCCGCTCAATTCTCAAACAAAGAAGAGATGGAGCATGAGGCCTGGAAAAAGCACCTTGAAAAGCAATACGATGGACATCGGCACTGGTCGAGTGGTGTCTGGGCCAAACGGCCACCCACCCTCACTCCCAGCCAACTGAATGACCGCATGGTCGAGCTTGAGCACGAAGAACCGACCGTTCATAAGCGCCGATACCTCAATTCAAACGGAGTTGATGACCACGAGAAATTCCTCGACTTGGATACTTACTACAGCACGAACAAAGAGTTCCCCCGTCGACTAGTCGTGCAAGCGACAGCAGATGCGCAGAAAGATGCTCGGCCAAGGCACTGGAGTCAAAGGAATATCGATGGACGGACGCCATTTATCATTCGGTTATCGGAACTTTGTCTGAACCCGTTCAACCTCAAAAGATACGATTCCGGCTATGTTGATAAGAGCAAGAGCGAAGATCCGAATGCGCCACTGCCGCTGAAGAGGACCGGAATTCGGCATGTTAGGATGATCTGCCTTCGCGTCATGCACCATATCATGTCGATATTTTTTACCTTGACATTGGCGTGGGTCATTCAGGTCTTGCTCTCCGCCGACATCATTACCGAGCCATGGAGCAAGGAAGGCTCGTCAGAGGACTACACGGATTACGACAATGTACTCTGGGAATGGCCCAAGCACGCTATCAATTTTTTGGAACAGTCGCAGGATAACGAGAAACCGCAAACAAGCCTCACCAGGCTCATGATTCCTCGCCGTCTGGTGGTGTGGGACGAAGAGAAGAAAGCTTATATAGCCAAAGATACTTCCGAGCTCCGGGACAAAGTGACAGGAATGCTGCCACCCTATGTTTTCCTGAGTTTCTCACGAGGAAACTATCCCAGAGGAGACGATGTTCTCAGGCCTTTTTTCCACAATGTGGCTCAAAGCGTCTTGCATGAAGAGAATAAAGAGAACGCCCATCGAGATCCAAAAGAAGAACCTATCAAAGCGTTCTGGGTGGATGTTGACTGTGTCAGTCACGAGAACCCAGCCATCAAGGCTAGGGATATCAACTCCATTTGTGATGCGGTGCGCTGTGCTAGGCGTGTATATATCATGCTGCCAGGTGAGAGCCAGGAGGACAAGCGGACGTGGGGGAAGCGAGTCTGGACTTTGCCTGAGGTTCTCCTTGCGGCTGAGAAGATTCGATACTGCATCACACCCCAATGGAAGGACTGGCCTTCATCCATGGGGAATATGCCCACGGAAAATAAATTTGGGTCTGTCTCGTTGAACGACATGTACAACAGTTTTTGGCCGAGTTTTAAGCCCATTTCTACTGTATCCACTACCGATAGCCATGGGGAAGGGCGACCCGAGGATGCAATCAGCCACCTTATTGATCACTATACGAACCGGACTAAGCTCAGTGAACTACAACTGTTTACCTTTGCTGTTCAAGCTATGGCAAAATTGTTTACTGGAGAGGATGAAGGTTTTACCACCGCGAGCATGGCCTACGCTGCGATGGGTCTCTTGGCCTATCGCATCACGCCCGATAAAGAAGATGATACGTTCCAAGCCATTGCGCGCTTGTCGCTTGTGAATGATAGCAACCAGATGCTGGAGCGTCTTGTCAGTCTGTGGCCGAAGTACACGCCGGATGTCCCAGGAACATCCAAGGTTCAAGGAGAAGAACGATATGCCGTTGCTGGTAGCGAAGCTCTTCTCAGAAATATCGCGGATCAAGATCAATATTCCGTTCATCTTTGGGATATCCATCCTTTATGCGATGTGGTCGGTATTGGGAACGACAAGTTCGCTCCGACAGTTATCCTGGACCGGTGCCGCGGCATTCCTATCCGATGGAAGAGCTTCCCAAAAGTGAGATACGTACAAAACTTTGAAGGCTTCCGCGAATGTATATCCCAATTCGTGGTGTGGATCGGTGCCTCGTTCCTGCTGATGGGTTTCAACCTCTTCGCAACCGTTGTCTCGCTTGCCTTCGCAAGCGTGGACGATGGAACCACCATCAGCATCAACAAATACATGCTTGGTATCCTGGTATACCTCGGTATCGCCTGGGTAATCTCCTGGTTCAGCCCGAGAGCAGTCCGACGCCTATGCAGCGGAGGATCCGGACTTTCCTGCCATTTAGTCGGATTCGAAGGCACAATGACGCTCCGCGAGATTGAGAAAGCTATCTACGGCAATTTCACTGGCCGGCTTTCTTATGCGCCTTCTTCTACAATATTCTCCCATAAAATCCGTCACGGCAAATTTCGAATGGGCGTTGAGCCTCGTGATTCACATGGTGATCCGCGGGGCCCTGAACACTGGGAACAGCAAAGAAAGGAACACGGTATTCCCGACACGCATCGCTTATTCACTATCGTTGATACGGGTGATATGAGCGTGTCGGTCATTGCGGCTGAGCGACCACCGGTCGTGGCTTTGATCTGTGGACGTGAGGGTGGTATGGTGCGGGCGCTGTTGTGCAGCTGGAGATTCGACAAGAATTGTTTGTATCGGGAATGTGTCGTGCGCATGCGGAGCTCGATTCAGGATCAGGCTCAGCCAAATGACTGGTTGAAGGTTAGCCTGGCTAGTCAGGGTGAGGTTAGCCGGACTCGGTTGAGATATGCTCAACAGGAGAAGAAGGCTTCGCTTTTTGCGCCTTCAGTGTCGGTGCCTCCTACTCCTCCTCAGAAAGATACGTTGGTACAGAGAGTTGTTACCGAGCTACCGTCTTAGTTTTGGCTCTGTTTTATTTTGCGATTTGGCTTTCATGTCATACCCTTTTGAAGACTGTAATAGTAATGTTTTTCTCGTTTGATATTATTCATGAAATATGACACGGGAGATAAGGAAGAGAAGTAATGTTTCAAGCAAAGTAGTTAATCAATTACTGTTGTTACTGCAACAACTGCTTCAGGTACATCGATGCCCTCTAAGATAGTAGGATCTTTATCAAACTCTCCTGTCTCGACATACTCTTTCATAACCCACAAAATGCTTCGCTCAACGACCAGCACTGATGAATCTATAGACTCTTCTAGGGTCATAACACGCGCAAGGTATCGCCAAGCGCATGTCAATGATTTCTTGTCTTCGATCCGGCTAAGAAAAGCAGGCATATAAGTCGGTTGGACCGCAGGTTCGCCACTCTCACCATCAAGGTTAAGTGCATATACCAGCTTATCTCTAACCGAAGCCTCCAGCGAGCCCCATATCTCTTTGAACATGTTCGCTTTATCACGGGTCGCAACATTGCCCATGCAGCAAAGTCGCAACAATGCGCGGTGATGTAAGTTGTCGACATGTAACAACGGGAATCCCTTTCCATACAGTAACTGTGCTCTTCTGGAAAGAATCAAGTCATAACCCTGCCTCAGATCAGAGACACCAGCAATAACACTCTGGCACGCATCATAGACGTTCCGATAAGAGTCAAATATGGGCTGAATAAGTTTCTTCGCGCAGGTACAATCCATATGTCCCGCAGCCCCAGAAATATCCAGAAGTTGCTCCATGAAGCAAAGCCGAAAACAGCGAGCGCTATCTTTCATCAAAAGCAGACCAGATAAACAAGCAGGGACATTTTCGGCCTGGGCCAGCTGTCCAAAATTGAAGGTTGCCCCGAGCTCGATGCCACGGACGACATCGTCATTGTATTGAGCTGGCAAATTTTCCAATGACTGAACTAGTCCGACTGTGACAGCCTTGCGCAGAATCTCGTCGTGATTCAGTTCTGTAATGTCTATACCAGTAATATTTTGGTAGTCAGATGCAAGTTGTGGGTCTTTGCCTAGATCATTAATGACGATGGATGTAATCAAAGTATAGAGTGCATCGGCGTCCACAATGACTTCGCTATAGAATTTCCGTATCCAGTCGAATGATTCTCTGTTTAATCGAACATGTGGTGGCTGTGAGCCGACAAAATTCTCGTATTCTCCGCGGTGAATCCAGCGCAGAGCAAGAAACCCCACTAAGGTTCGGTTAACCTCGTCATAATCTGCTTGGTACAGTATGTATGAGGGCGACTCCGTAGTGAAAGCTACTTGCTGACAAGATCGAATGGAATATGCTCGTTTGAGTCGGTCGAGGTCATTTTTAAATTCTTGATAGACCATGCGTAAGAGGTCATCTTGCGGAAGCGCAAACAAGGAGTCTGGATGGCCGCACGCTTCCCGGAGAGATAATGAGACCATTATTTTCGAGCAGATTAATTTTAAAAGCCAATCCATTTTCTGGCTAGCATCAAGGATATAAGGAGAGTTTTCTTGTTTGCCTAGCTGAGAACTTTGAAATCACTACACAGCCACAGCGCGTGCAGGTGAGGCGCAGGAGGGGAATCGAACCGCTCATAACCGAGACCGATTCGCACGTAATGTATTCGGTGAAAATGCAGAATGATTCTAAAAGAGCAGCCTGTTCTTCTTGGTGACAAGTGTCACGTAAATCACTCCGTATCACAATAACTACACATTGTCATCCATCGTTCGTGGCCGTATGAGAGTGGTCACGTGATGCTCATAGTCAGCCAAGCTTCACTTCCCCTTTTCTCACAAAGATCCCATTCTTCCTTTTGACCTCTTTTGCCTTGAAAATTATGGCAGCATACTTATTTGCTTAATGGGGCTTTGACTATAGTCTTGTTTGATTCATTGAAAGGTCTGGTGAGTTCATCAAGGAGTCAAGGACTGGCACATTGATGAGTCCCCACGTAAAGTATACATATTCGGATGGTGGATTTTCTACCAAAAGATGATATCCGCGATCTTGAGCGCCGGCATTGGTCGCTGGTCGGTCTGCGCCCCGTTATGAGAAAATGGCTCTTCTATACCCGCGCTCCAAAAACTTGCAGTCCTATATGTGTGACTATTTCATCACACTTGTGCAACTATGTCACAAAATCTTAAGATTCACCCAAAAGTCGACGCTTGGACAGCTCAAAGCAGCCTTCAATGAGGGAGAACTCAATTCTTTCCAATTGAACCTGGAACGTTGGGCTATGAATATCAAGGAAGAGGTGACCCTACTGATGGCCGAGAAAATCGAGGAGGAAGCTATCAAAACATCCAAATTCCAGAATGCGTTATGGAAAAGAATCACCAAGTCAGACGATGAGATACTGCAAGCGAAAATTGATGCACATCTTCAAGTACTGAACTTTTGCTCACAGTTCGACCACACGGTTATCTGGAAACAGACTCGAAAAGCGGGGACGACGACCCTTTTCCGCGACAGTCCGGAATATGTTGCTTGGAAAGATCCAGCATCTTCTTGTATCTCCTGTTCACTTGTATACACGGGCAAGTTGGGATGTGGAAAATCAGTTGTCTTGGCCAATATTGTTGAGGATCTGCATCTTCATACCGATATACCGGTGGCTTATTTCTTTTGCCGACACGATGTTCCCAAATCGCTCAAGACTCGCACCATGATTAGATCACTCATTAGACAAATACTTGCTGGAATCCAAGACCTCACATCCGTGGCAGAAGTTCTGAATCAATGCGCGGAACGGGACGAATTTAAAAAGATGACATCTCTACTCGAATGTGCCTTTCCACCCGGCGTGCTGCAATGCTTCATTATAGTCGATGGTTTCGACGACCTGGAGAAGTCTGAACGAACCAAAATGATCACAGAACTATCAAAGCTGTAGGAGAAGTTCAATATACGTCTTTGTGGATCCTCTCGCTCTGACCCAACGAGCTATGACCGCAATATCGTCACGATGGGCTTTGTATCTCCGACTGTGACGCCAATCCCTGAAAATAGTTCCGAAATCCAAGATTTCATTCTAGAAGAGCTCGAAAACTGCCTTGAATCTCAGAAGTTGGCTGTGGGAGACCCTACACTCATATTGGAAATTCGAGATGCGCTTTTCCATGGATCCCAGGGTATGTTTCTTTAGGTAGCTCTACAGATCGAAACACTGTGTACAACGAAGACCGACTATGAGATCCGCCAAGCCTTGCGAGACTTCCCTAAAGACCTAGCAGGAACATTTTCTCGCGTTCTACAACGACTTGAGTGGAAAGAACCATCTAGGGGTCAATTCTTAAATTGGTTATTGCTGCTCAGCGTCCGATAACAATTTACGAGTTACAGGAAGCATTGAGTGTGACTCCAGGCAATACGGAATGGGACCCATCTAAAAGCCTCAATAACATCTACATTACCCTTGCAAGCTGTGGTTGTCTCATCAACATCGACGAAGAAGAGCTAACAGCACGACTCGTTCATCCAAGTCTGAAACAATTTCTTCTCGAATCTCACGAGCAAACAACAAAAGCGCCATTGAGTCTAACTTTGGATTCTGCACATCGATACATGTCCGATATTATTCTCACATACCTCAATTACAATGTCTTCGATAGACAATTATCCCGAACCGTCATTCCGCGGATCAATGCAAGTGCAGCAACATCTACAATCCTGCAGTCTAGCATTTCTTCCACCAGCGTCCGGCATCTAGCCATCAAGTTACTCAAAGGGAAATCCGAATCTGGCGTTGATCTTGGCAAAACGCTTGTTCAAGCTCGTTCTCTCTGTCACGACCACGCAGACCAGGACTTTTATTTCCACTCATACGCAAAGTCCTACTGGCACTTTCATTTCGCTCGTATGACTGAAGAACATGAACGCACCTATGAATTGCTCAAGAAGCTTTTCACAGCTAGAAAAGTTGACGGGAGTGCCTTGGACGACGATGGCCTCACACCACTCATGGTGGCATCCATACTGGGAAACGTCAACGCCGTGAGATTCTATCTCATATTCAACGGAGTGGATGTCAATTCCAAGTCTGAATCAGGCCTCACGGCACTTCATTTGGCTCTACTTCACAAACAGTACCATACTTTTACAACTATCTTGCAATACTCCACTAGGCCCGTCGATCTCGCCGATGATCAAGGCCGAACGCTCCTGATACTAGCAGCTGAGCAAGGCGACACAGAAATATTTGAAACACTTGCACATCATCATATTTATCCTGGCTTTGCGCTTTCTATGCCGGACTTGAATTGTGTAAATGAAAATGGAGAGACGGCTTTACATATTGCTTCCCGTCTAGGATTCTTTTGTATAATTGTGAGTCTCCTCACGTTGGAACAGGTGGATATTAATGCCAAGGATGCGAGCGGAAATACGCCTTTGCATAAAGCGATTCAGGGTGAGCATGAGGATATTGTCGAGCAGTTTCTCGTCTGTGATCGAGTGAAGATTAACGCGGTGAACAAGTATAAACGGAGTGCGTTGTCTATGGCTATTTTCTCCTGCAATGAGGATATACAGGCTCGCCTTTTAATGTGTTCTCGGTTGGAGGGGGAATCCAAAGATAGGCTGAAACAGATATTGAGGTTGGAAAGTGAATAGAGGAGGGATTTGCCAATGAGAAATGCAATTGTAGAAATCATCAATACTCTCTTCATGACTGGTAGAATGGCAGTCTAAATTGTGCATCTTCTAGATAATCTCTTGAAAACTCGGGACATCACCGATGATCACAGATACCCTGGATATTCTCTCAGACACTCGGGACAACAGCACTCTCCATCTTCTGGAGCCACGGGAAAATGGGGCTATTAGCAGTCCGAATAAAGGAGAACGCACTTGCCACGATACAGGGGCAGCGCACACCGTCGACTTCATAGTAACCCATCCAGTCTCCAGAAGCTTGCATCAAAGACCCATAGGAAGGCGTACGAAAATTGCTCCAGCGCGAGCCGTCAGGAACCATACAAACCACTTTAAATGTAGAATACTTTAGGGCGTCCTTGTTGCGGGTGTTCTCGATATTGAACACCGTTATTATAAGCACGAAGAGCCGATGGCCTGATTCGATTCGACTGTTTATGAGGGTTCCAATGAAGGTAAGGGAACCGTTGGCCATGAAAGGCGTATGTTTTTCATATCCGCTCGAATCCGGATTGCCTTGCATGCTGTATTGAAATGTAAATTAGAAGAGTAGCCCAAGATTGAAGTACTACTTACGGTACCAGCTGATCAGCACGGATTAACACCTTCGGGTCTGCGTTCGTGGCTTGCGTGGGATCTACAGAAAGCACACCTTGCACAAAGGCAATCGTGCCCGGGGGAAACTCATGCCGACCTCGATTATTGTAATCGATAGTCAGTGGTATGCCGTACTGCCCCTGGATCACGTTGTTAAGGTTTTCATAGGAGGGACCCTGCTTAAATGCCTCACAGGTCATTCAGACCGCACTGGTGTTTTCCGGCGCCACGTCTAGTATGACAATGCCAGAAAAGAAGGCGTGGGTGTTAGCTGGAGGCATGGAGGAGAATATGTGAGCCATGATGAGGAGGTAGTTGAGAAATTCAAAGGTTAGAAGATGTCCAGGTGGTCGTAGTAGAAGGAGGTGAAGGAAATGAATGGAGTGGAACGACAAATGTGTTTGAAGGAGATAAATAGAGACAAACAAAAGAAATGGTTCAAGGTATGGCTGCAAAGGCTTTTGAATTGTTTGGCATCTTTAAAGGCTTTTTGTTTGGGAGCTCAGATTTGCCAAGCATAAATGTATTTAGGAAGCTTTACATACAATACTCAAGCCTAAGTAGTATTCTGATCATGTACATATATTCTCACCGAGAGATTCTAAAGACACAGCAACATACTTGAGCGTTTACCAATATGGATGCCGGGAATGAAAAAACATCGAGGCTTGCTTATCTTGGAAATTTAGTGATTCGATTAATGATCTAAGACTGTTGAAGTAGATGCATTTATGTTTAAAAACACCGGTAATGTTAAATATGTAAGAAAAAAACCACAAGGTTGCGAAAAAAGTTAAAAGTATGTACAAGTGCAACCATACGCATTCACCACGCTTTCTTCGAAATTCATAACAGATGGGGACATAACAATCAAGGACAAAAGGTCAAGCTAACCGCTCAGCTTAAGAAGGACGGTGGAACTTGCTCTCAATCCAAGGCATACCAACAACACTGGCCTTGCGAACCTTGTTGCGAACCTTGACACCGACCTCGGTACCCTTCTTGTGGAATCCGGACTTGACATAAGCCATGGCGATGTTGACACCACCAAGCGACGGGCTAGGCACACCGGAAGTAACAACACCGATGTCGACGGGGTTGGCAGGGTCTGAAATATCCACAACAATGGCACCCTCGCGGGCAGGGGAGCCCTTCTCAACGGTAAGACCAACACGACGCTGCTTCAGGGTCTTGGCGGGGCTGGCGAGCTGGGGAAGAATAGTGGAGGCACCGTTGAAGGTAGCAGTCGCGGCATCGCGACGGTCACGGCCAACGACCCAGCCTAAGGCAGCGGCGGGGGGAGTCTGGGCGGTGGAGATATCGTGGCCGTAGAGACACATGCCAGCCTCCAGGCGGAGGGAGTCACGGGCCGCGAGACCGGCAAGGCGGGTGGTGTTCTTATCCTGGAGGAGGAGGTTCACAACTTGCTCCGGGAGGGAGGTGGAGACGGAGGTGGGGATGGAGATCTCGAAGCCGTCTTCGCCAGTGTAGCCAGTACGGGAGATCAGGAGAGGAGAGGGGGTAGCGGAGCCATCGGGGAGGGTGAGGTGCAGCTCGCGACAGTTACCAAAGTAGAGGGTGCTCAGGTCTGTCTCGGCGGCGGAGGCGTTGGCGGAGTTGATGAGGGGCTGCAGAACGCTGGCGGCGAGGGGACCTTGCAGGGCGATCAGGGCGCGGTCCTCGAGAATATCCCATTTGATACTGTCGGCGCCATTCTTGGAGCGGTAGGCTTCAATCTCAGCAGTCAGGAAGGCCAAGTCCTCGGTTCGACGGCCGGCGTTGGTGACGAAATAGAAAGTGTCTTCGCCGCGGCGAGTGATGACGGTGTCATCCACAATACCACCGGTACCTTCTTCCAAGAGACAAGACAGGGTAGAGGTGTTAGGGGCTAGTTTGTCGAGGGAAGAGGGGGTGATCTTCATCAAAAGCTCAAGGGCACCAGGTCCGCTCAGGTGGTGTTGCACCCTATAAACAAGATTGTTAGGACCAATTGAGGTTTGTAGAAACACACATAGCTTCATCACTTACATGTGGCTAACGTCAAACAGGCTGGCCTTCTCACGAGTCCACATGTGGCTTTCCACGTGGCTGAGGTCGGTATACTGGAGTGGCATAGCGAACCCGGCGAAGGGCACCATCTTGGCGCCATGGGCCTCGTGCAACGCATACAGCTGTGTCTTGCTCAAAGGCTCGCTTGAGCTTGAGGCATAGCGAACGGTCTGAATTTTTCCAATGGCCTTGGGAACAGCAATGCGGGTGCTAGGCACACGGACTGCTGGCCGCACCGAGGCAGTTGATAGCTCCCGCCGCAAAAGTGTGGAGCCGATAGAGGCGCGGGGTGTATGGAGAGCGGCCGTGCGGGCTGCGACGAGGTCTGCGCCTTTCTTGAGAGTACGAACGCTGGCCATTGTGATTCAATGCTAATCTGAAAATGAAATTGAATGTACAAGAGAAAAGAAAGAAGGAGTGGAAAATGGGTCACTGAAGAACTTACTCCGCCGTCGGGGAAGCACAGCGGAAAAGTCACGTGGAGATAGGGTGGCCGATGTCCGGCGGCATGTACGCATGAGTCAGCAGAAGCTGTTTTCCTAAAACGTTTAAGTCTCAACTCGCAGTTGTCAGATAGGAAGAATTGAGGATACAAAGTCTGTCAAAGTTGGAGGCGATGGCAAAACATGAATCGGGATCAAATATTTGACCCGATGCCAATCGTCCGGTTGAATTTCGGGTGTCGTTATGTGCAAAGACTGCTGGCGCGATATGATGGATATATAAAAGGAGAACAAGCCCAACACCACAATCGTCCCCAAAATTATACAAAGATCGCAAATATGCTCATCAATTTCGATGGCACTAAAAGTAGGAATCCACCGGCATATTGACCAACAAACCATTGAAGCCCAATCAAAAATATGCATTGACAGTCGGACAGTCCTTCTGCCTCTCGGTCGTCATCTCATCAATCCCCCGGAAATTATTATATTCTTCCCGGATGAATGCAACGATGATACAAGACATGATGAAGTCGCAGAAAGCAAACAAAATGAAACAAGACCCCGCCCCGCAGGGGTTTAAAGTCCGTTACTGGCGCAGGTGAATACACCACCGACGGAACCCTCTCGGTAGCTGATGACTACCGACATGACAGAAGCCTATAAATGAATGTTAATAAATGAAGGGAGTACAAAGGATGATCAAAATGAACTTACGTAGGTACCGGGTCCCAAGAAGTACAGTCCCATGAGGATCAGGCTGACGTTGAAGATGGCACCCAACCAACCACGAATGCCCCGCTTCTTGTAGAAGTCTGGTCCGTGATCAGCCATACGCATGCGAAGGTAGGCCACTCCCCAGAAAATGAAACCGAAGAAGGAATCAAACAATGAACTCATGATCGACTCCAAATCCGAGAAGAACGGAATGACCTCGGCAATGATCCAAGCCAAGATCCAGAGCACGGCCAGAATTCCAGCCCAGGAAGCCCATCCCACCACGGTATTCTGAGTCTTGTGGCGCGTACCCTCAAAAATGTTGAAGAAAATGAAACGCGCAGAGACAGAGGCGTAGAGAACACCGAGGAAAATGAGGGTAGGAATCATGAACGAGAAGGAAACCTTCTTGTACACCTCATTGGATATGGAGCCGAAGGCGGGCGATGTCATGTATGCTGATTGTGAGCCAGTGTAGGCGTAGATGATAGATCCGACCAGACTAAACAAGATCACCTCAGCAATAGTCACTGCAGTCACGGACTTCCAGAAGTCTCTCGGCTCCTTCATTTCGGCGATGAAACTGGGCAAGGTAATCTGTCCGATAAATGTGTAGCTGATGTTCAGGAAGGCGCTCATGCCACTGACGAAAGTGGTACCCTTGGCTGGGATGGCGAGAACTTCCGGCTCGCCGGCGCTGGGGTAACCGGCCGGGTGACCTTCGATTCCGATGAAGATCATGGCCAGCAGAACGGAGATGAATGTGAAGAAGGCAGATAGGGTGGCCAATCGAGCCAGAGCGCTAAATGTACGGGGCAATGAAACGAAGAAGGAGATGATGGCCACGATGAGCGAGAAAACAACGGTGCAGGCACCGCCATTGGAGATGGTGTTGAGGTACTCGGACCCCACCACGCAATGCAAGCCCTGAATGAAGGTGTTGTTCAGGAGGAACATGATCGCAGTAAACCACCATGCCCATTTGGAGTCCCAGAATAGGTATTGGCCAATATCGCACACATCGCGAATTTCCGGGTGTCGCAGACAAAATTTCCTGGAATAATCATAAGTATATGCGTGACGCATTGACCGTGAGCTGTGCTCGGGTGACATACCAAATTGTCAACGAAGTATACAACACCACACCGGCAATGAAAACGGTCAAAATCAGACCTGGGACCAGACCAAGGACAGAGTATGACCAGGGAAAGGACATCATTGCCAGACAGATATACTCGGAGAAGAGTAGTGCAGCCGTCTGTACCAGATCAATTAGCAACCGCCAAAAACCGCCATATCCAATTGTATCTGCTAGTCGCAAGGAACTCCAAACCTACCTTCTGCCAACTGCAAGTACGGTATTTGATACCATTCTCAGCTTCGAGCTCAATTTGCCGACCGACACTCTCGGTAGTAGAAGACGAGTCGACGGCAACATGGGTATGGGACGGACGACGACCCTGACCCTCAAGATCGAAATCCTTCAACTTGGGATCCTGGTCGAGTTTGTCACTCAAGTCATGAGTATGTGACTGGTCGCTATCGGAGCGATGATCCCATTTTGCGATATTTTCTGGCGCAGCCATTTTAATCTTAACGAGCGGGCGAACCGCTTTTGACGATACTCGGCGGAGTCGAAGGAGACGGGACCGAAAACCGGATACATAAAACTGCTGCTGGCTTTGAAGTACAAAACTGAGTCCGGGCACGGGAATACCGTTGGAAAGTGCTTCTGGGAATTTGGCGCTCGGCGAGGGGGTTTCTTTGACTTTTGCGAGGGCTGGTCTTTTAGATTGGTTGCGACGGGATGGGTATCAGGGACCGGGAATGGTGACGCCGGTGGATGTTAGAGCAAACGGAATCTACAAGGACCCGTGGATGGTTGAATGTAAGGTTTCAATAGGATTGAATAGATCTATCGTGGACGAGTGCGACGAGAGAGATTTAAAGCAACCAGGAAAGGTAAGAGAAAAAAAGAGAGGAAAAAAAAGAAAAAAGACCAACGATGACCAGGATGGTAATGGTATCTGGTATACGAGATGAGCTTTCTAAGGTACATAATGGGGGGTAATTATGGTTCTGCTAGATACCCC